AATATGTGAGTGCTCTTAGTTAGTAAAWTGCTTGAGCCACTTACCGGTTCACTGCTGCATTAACGCTAATGCTGTTGTTCGTGACATTAGCTCCGACACTTCCCTTGATTGGTTCCATTGGTGAATAATTAGAAAATTTAGTAATTGTTAATGCTTAAGCGGTTCAAGTATCTCTGATGCTCTTCACCACGGATTTCTGCTCTTTTATACTTTTTGAGTTGGAGCTATTTAAAGCACAGACCACAGAGTCGGTGGATTCCCGCTGACAGTCTTAGCAAGCTTTGACAAATACAAATACAAAACATGCATCATATATATTATAGACAATAATAAATGGATATGTATACAATGATGTAGTTCCCCATGTGTACGTATCGTTTATTAGTCTTTTAATAAAATATATTGCGGGCATGGATTCCCCTACTAATAAGTGAAATATATACATATATGCAATATGTAAAATTTTCACATTTTCAATTTTGATTATTTTAATCTCGGAGCTTATTATTTAAAGAATTAAATAAAATGTATTTTTTATTAAAAGAAATAAATATGTCATACATTAAACTTCATATTATTTTAAACATGAATATTTATTTACATAAATAAAATTTAGGAACATCTATATATTTTGTTTTCTTAGATAAACTACGCATTTTTTTAAATTTCACATTAAAAAGATTATTATTTACATATATACAAATGTTTATTTTGGTATATTTTCATCACATCTTAAATAAATACAAATTGTGAAATTGAACTGATTATATTTTTATCTTTTGCTTCAATGCTGTGAATACCTTAATTTCCATAGGCTTATACACATGTAGCTGTTTGGACACGATCCAGACACTTGGCGCCGTGGCTTAGTTGGTTAAAGCGCCTGTCTAGTAAACAGGAGATCGTGAGTTCGAATCTCGCCGGGGCCTTTGCGGATTTGTGATTGTTTTTATTTTATAAATTATACAAATTTAATTCGGAAATAAATAAAACCCATTTTTTTGTTAAATGAATTGGAATTATGTCATTTGCCTGGCATGTTGTGTCTATTTCAATCCCTTTTGGTCCGGAACAATATACAACGATTCGCGACGAACTCGTGTTGCTTTTGTGCGTCTGCATTGATGACAGCTGACAGAAAGTTTACGTGCAACAAACAACGGCTTGCGTTCGCCTTTATGACTACGAACATGTAGGTATGTATGTATGTCCTCAACCCCCGACCCAAACCCCATTATGCCACACTTTATCGTGCCAGCAGCTACCACCTGTTGTCCTCGTGGGCGACATTGCACAACGGAAGCCAGCGAAACAGCATGACGGATATGTTCGACAGCATGTTGCATGACTGCCGACTGACCAGCCAGCGGTTGTCTCTGAGTCTGGGAGTGGCTGGAGACCATTTGCTTTGCAAATGTATCGCATGTTGCTTGCGTCCGACGGGCTTTCAATGGATTCTCTGAGGCGGCGCTAGATGCTGCAATTAGCCAGCAGCAACATTATTTGTTTCGATTTATTTGCAGTCGTTGGGCTTATCTTTACTTTTTATGCCCAAACGCACAAGGCTGATAATTTCCGTAGAGTCGGACAATGCTGAAAATAATAAATATGTAAACCACAACTTCTGACAATGGCCAACTAGGTTGGGTGTATGCCTCGTATGTGTAATCATTTTTATGGATTTAATTTCCAGGACATTGGAATCCTTTTGTGTGGTTGCCGGTCTGTCCCTTGTGCGTCGGATACAGCAATGTCCTCTTCTAATTTCCTCATAAGCATTATTATGCGAGTGTTGCCGACGATTGGGTTAATCTGCTGGACAACTGGCTCATTATTTGCGGACAGCAGCGTGTGCAGTAAACTCCAATCAAAGTTGTAATTAAAACTTTGCATTTGCTCTCAATGTATGTATTTAAAATATTGATGTACTAAATGAATTTGTGTGGATGTATATGACTTTATAGCAAGGTCGTAAGATTTAAAGGTGATATAATTAGAAAATTTATAGCTTGATAGATATATTTGCAATAAAAATAGAACATTGAAAATTCTGGTATAGCAAGACGAATTTATTTAAGTTTTTTTTTTATTTTAAATATGAAATATGTTATATATATAGACAACTTAAGCATAAGTAATAGATATATATAAGCTCCTTGCGGACATGACAAATCGGGTTAATGACAATTTAGCTATAGTCAGAATGCCAAAATGTAAGAAATATGTTATAATTGACTCTGTCTGCTTATTTATCAATATATAAATGCATATAAAACCCTTTCGGGTAGTGAATGTTAAGCTTCTGCACCCTCAATTTTCAGAAAATATACTAAACTGTTTTTAGACCGTAAACGAGTATTAGATAGTCGGTAAAGCTCGATTTTAGTATTCTTATTTGCCTAATTGTTGTATAGTTCATATTGTTTGGCATACTTGGCTTTGCCTTCATGATATTTTTACTATTAAAATCCCAACTGTTATGCCTTATATCTGTCATTTATCATTGGCATGGCTGCAGTGAGTCTTGTGTATTTGTAATTGCCACGCCTGCGGCTCATGTTGTTCGCATTCGTCGCCTTCAGCCCAACTCATAAGCGAAGGACTAGCTGAAATGCTCGGCGCAAAGTAGCAGAAACTCACACCCAAGCGTTTTTAGCAATTGTCAGCAATTTCGCTCAATAGACGGCAAAAACTATCGGACGGACAGTCAGACGGAAGGCACAGGACTAAACAAACGTCATTTCAGCACACAATGTGGTGTTGCTGTTGCTGTGTATTTTTTGTGATTATCTTGGAGAGCAGAACAGAGCAGAGCAGTTGACCATTGGCTGCTGACTCCCACACATGGTGGGCGTGTGGCTGAGCATTAACATAATTTATGTGGTTCCGCCGGATTTAGCTTTGTCGTAAAAAAGGACACACTCGGCCATTGTCCGTTTGAGTCTTTCGGTGCTTATTCCGATAACAAAGGCAATGCTGGGTGGGATTGCGGTTTTTATTGTTTTTATGGCAGCAAAGTTTATGAAAAGTTTCCCTGCCAACGATTTCGGTTTGTTTGCAATTTCGTTTTAGTTTTCTGTCGAGTTTGCATATTTTTTTAATTAAATGCAAGTAGCCGCAGAAATCTAAGTTGCTGCATGCCAGGGCGCAGGCATAATCTATCAGGCCATTTCTCAACTTTTTTGACTGCCCTTTTCCTGCCCCGTGGGACCGCCTGGCCCATGGCCATAAAAACGTGCGAAATTTTCACGGGCGCGTGAATTTTCACAGCATTTGCTTTTGTGTTTTTGTTTTGCCAGACACTCACAGGGTAAAAGCCCCCCGATGCATACAGCAGCCAACTGATTGTTGTCACCTGTGCAATACCCATTGATTCTGTTGTCGATGGGCATGGTGTTTATGCTGTTGGGTCAATAGAAGACAAGCCTCGAGTCGGCGCTCAAATCATACTCGGTTAACTTAAGTTTGGGCATCAAGGCAAAATGTGGATTCTGATTATTATTTTCCGTTATCTAGTATCTTGCAAATAATTTATAATTTTTTATTGTGTAAAAAAATAATAATAATAATAATAAAATATTAAAT